GTAATATACATGAAATGTATTAAAAATAATAATTTTCTTATATACAATTTATAAGTTCACTTGTAAAAAGGAAATAAAAGAAGAAAGTATTTTAAAGAGCATAGAATACTAAAGATAAATTTAATCAACTTATGAATAAGTTGTGTATGTGAAGTCTTTGCTTGATGTTTCGCACATAAATTCATTATGTTTTTATAATGGAACTTCGCAAATAACAAAAATATTGTGATAGTGAGCGACATTACTATGTGACTTTAAAATAGTCGGATTGTAGTAGTGCTTGAACTTATTTCGAAGTCCTCTCATTGAGATAAAATTAAAATTTGTTTAATTTTATTTTTCATATAATGAGATAATTTCATTAATGAATAATTTCATAAATTCAGTTTTTGGGTTTAATTTGTATTTTAGCAACAAATTAAAAGTTTCATCACTACAGCAGCTTCTTCTGCGGTGAAATTCTACCGTTGTTCCTTCTGGAAGATTAGCTCAATAGTGTTTATTTAATCAAATTAATCGATTTATTAGTTCCAAACACGACCTCAATTGGATTATTTTGAGTTAGATAGTAAACATTTTATTGACATGATGTTTTTGTACGATGTTTACAAAACATAATGAAAATAAATAAATGATGCGTTTATACAATATTATTTATAGATTAAAATAAAAAATGTTTTTAACGATAGTACAAAAGTGATAAAAATTCGACTTTTCACTTTGTTCTCATTCAGGTAAAGGTGGCTTGAATAGTCACTTACTCGAATAGATTGCAAGAAGTAATAAGAGATAACTTTAATTCTTTTATTAAAATAATGCGATTATATTCTAACGAGACACTACTGTATACGAACATTTTTTTTTACGAGTAACCTTTTATATATTATTTATTATTCCAAAGAATCTTATACCTGTATAAAAGTTTCTTTAAATAAGCAAAGACATTTATGATGTAATTTGTGAATTACATCATTTTATAACTATTAGTGAATCTGTTGATGTAATTTCACATGTATATATGTACAATCATTATTTGATTTTTCCTATTATTCATCGCAATATGTAATTCATATCATATTATAGTTATCTTTGTCATCTTGTAATTGATTTTGTTAAATATTATTTGTATCATTTTTAATAAAACTTATTACATGTTAATTGTGTTCTTTAATACTTTACTTCAATCGTAATGTTTTTATTAAAATTTTATCGTAACATTTTACATTTTCAACAATAACAAGGTTCTACAGTTAGAGCAATTTTTCCTTTCATTCTCAGTATTAATTTAGTAAAATATAAAATCATTAATTTCAAAAATATAAAAGTGTCATAGTAAAATAATAGAGTGGTAATTATGTTAAATAAATTTGAAAGAAATTTAATATAGATAATAAACAAGTAATAATTTTTAAATATAAAAAAATTACGAAGTATATATTAAAATGTTTCATAAACTAGTTCTTTCGCGGCACAGATCGCCCATTTTTGCAGAAAATGAAGAGTTGAAACGGTCACCACATTAAAAAGTATTTACACATGAATTAAAGTAAGTATATCTATACGTTTATGATAAGAAAATATTCACAAATTACAGTAAACCATTAAATTTATTGAATAAACTTATATGTAAAATGCTAGAGTATCATATAATAATAATAATAACGTCCTTATCAGAAAACGATAATTCGATATATTATCAGAAAGATGTAAATGTAGTTTCACGGCTGTGCAGTTTAATTGGAGGTAAATTTTGCAGATTGTATCAGAGATGTACATGCTGATAAATGTACACAATGTTTCCTAGAACTCGGTCATCTGAAATAATTGCGACAACGACGATCAGGATCTTTACAAGAGAACGTAAGATACGCGGAATTCAGTGGTGGGGGAAGAGTGGGGATAGTTCGTTTCAATTTAGTCGAGCATGAGCGTATTTATGTATATGCAACAATGAATCGTGTCGCTGTTTCCGAATGACTTTCTCGCTGGTACCTGACATCCGTGACCGTGTCAAAAACCATAATACTTGGTATTATTATAAAATTTGAGTTAAGGATTTCATTGCATTAGGCGTAGAACTCATTTGAAGTAGTATGGCAATATAAGTCGTTATTGTTCCAAAAAACTATAAACAAATATTGAATTATTAAGTAACAATTGTGACAGCGTGTAGATTCTTACATACCACTGTTGTAAGTTTATTATCCAGAGAAACAAAACCGCCGGCAGAAAAATACAGCGGATGAAGGATCAGTTGTAACGAAAATTGTTCCATCTGTAATTATTACCGTTTCTAATAATATGCATACACAATAAACATGTGTATATACAGGTCGACCATAACACAACTAAGGCAGTTTAATGCTTGTATCAGAACCTTTCGTTTAATCACTATACTGATGTGACGATTACCTCGTCCTTGATAGAATCATCCAAATAAGAATTTCCCAGTTCTCGAAGAATCTCCGTCGTTACACGTGCCTATAACATATCGATGTTGTACTAATAATAATTATTTTCTTACGGTTGCAAAACTAATGATTTCACCTGACGATGCAAATTAGTACAAAGATTGTTTACGATAATTATTTTACAAGAGTTTACACATATCCACAGAACCATTGCAAAAGTTACTTTGTTCTTTAAAGCTTGCATTACATTAGACTGTACTAGTTCGAAATATACGTTGTAAAGTGAACCCATTATCAACGTGAACTCCACGATCAATTGTAATAAAAGCTGATAACAGTAAACTTGATTAAGTTCACGTGAAATTCTAATAATCTCAAGGTAAACGTGCCTTCGGAACATAAAAAGAGAAATGGTTTTATTTCATTAAAAATTTGTCCTTTAAAATATTTTGCAAGAGCACACAGGTGATTTACCTTGTAATTTGAAGAAAATACAGAATAAAACGTTGCCGATTTTGATAATCCATTGTAACTATAATCTTTTGCACCATGTACGATTGAACACCATACTTTACATTACAGTTTTTTACATCTGACAACTGAAGAATCTCGTTCATTGCCATGTTTATCTTACGCAATTTATCGTTTAAAATTCTAAACAGAAACTCACAAACATGAAAATACAAGATGAGTATGTTTCAAATAAGCAAAAAAAGGTTGCTGTCTTGTAATAATAGAAGTGTTTCTTAAAATACTTTAATTGATAGCGTGTAACTTAATTAATACTCTATTACTGTTGTCACCCCCACACTCTCATCGTCGTCATTGTTCTTATTATAACAAATTAAGTAAACTTTTTGTACAAGAACAGCAAGTACAATATTGTTTACAGAATGTTTCATTCACATTTCTCTGTAATTTACCTCATGAACATGCAGAAACTGAAAATTACCGCAGAATTCACGGTAATTGGGACGTGTACTAAAATACATAAGTATGTTCCATGCTTCAGATCAAGTTCAGTTATGAGCCAAAATATATCTAGGGCAAAAAGACTCAACATCAGTATACTCCATGTGAATGTCGCGCATATTGCATATCGCAAGGTTCTCGTATAATCTTGTTTAACGCCGAACGGTTCTAATGTATTATCTATTTGTTCACACCTTGCGATAATTTTCCTCGACTTCTTTAATAGAAAAAAAAAAAAAATGGTAACTATGAGTTAAATCAGAACTAAAACTTATTTCTAACTCTACAATACGATCGCTAATTATGTTGTAATTCGAAAAGTATATACTTCTGTATTAACGAATCCAAGAATAATCGAGATAAAGGCTACTGTTATGTTGACCCATAAAATAAACGTATAAGTGATTTCTTGATATGCAACCCAATTTTCTTCGTTAAATCCTCTGAACTCGGAAAGCATGATAAGATATAATGTGATACATATCAAATTATAAATTACAGACAAGCCGTATCGAGGACGCCTTGCTAATTCAAAAACACCCAGTCCAAGTATCCAATTGAGCCAAAGGATAGGTGCTAATGCATCACGTTGATTCCTTGCTTCCCACCTCATAACTTTCACGTTTTTTAACATTTCATCTAAATAAATGTATTTGAAGCATAATTGTTATCTTTGATCCCTGATATTTATTTCTTTATTGTTATAAAAATGCTCACCCTTTTTCTCTCTATTATAAATCTTCGTCGGTTTGTACATGTTCTTCTTTTAAACTTCCAGTTACTACTGCAAATTACAGAATGAATAGAGCTGTCTGCAATTGTTCTACTAAAAATAGAACTAAAAATGCAGGGAGATGTTCTTGAACGTCACTTAAGTATAATACGTCGCAAACTAATCGACTTACTCTGTTAAATCGTCATTTCCTTAATGAATTACAGTACAATTGCTGATAATGTCTGATACAAGGATCTCGCTTGATGTGGATAAGGGGTTGCACGCATCATCTCATTATTTATTCCTTGTACGCGAGCATAGCGGTTTCTCGCTGTTAATCAGCCAATAGTGACAGAATAAGGCTATCGCACTTACACGTGCGTCTTTGCTGATAGTCAGTTAATTACGATAGGAGGAAGGATCGAGAGTATCGTCGGGAGCATTGTCAGAAAGAAAGTATTAACAGGGTTGGTGAATTTTTAAAATGGAGATTCTCCGAATTTTTCGCTTTTAATAATGGTTATTAAGAAATTTTTCATTGTTTTACCATTACTAATAATGTAGATAGTAAGATAATGTTACTGGTTTATTTTCCAGACCTTTAATTACAGAATAATTAGTGTTCCTTGTTAAATAACAATTTAAATGGTTGTTTATAATTATTGGAAGTATTAAATGAATTTGTTGCATGATTTAACTTAATAAAATAGCTTAATTTTTGTGTGAATTAGAAATGGAACATTTAGGCGATCACAGGGATCAAGGAAAGGACTTGAACATCAGGAAAAATGAAGAAATGTAATAATTTATCAAAAGACAAATTGTTTATTTTAAGATAAGTGTACAAAATGTATTTTATAAAATTTCAGAACTCAACCATCAATCAGACATCGAAATTTGTTTTGTCTGAGAAATTATTCACTGATACTACTAATTAGCGTCGCAACAGTGCAGAAAATCCAGTAGTGTAAGTCAATCATATCTCAGGCGCTCGGATTTTTGTCGACATCAGTAAGTAGTGCAAGTCAACCATTTCTCAGAATATTAAAGTTTACGGTTTATTTTCAGATACTTCGATTGAAGAATAATTAGTGTTTCTTGTTAAATAACAATTAAAATTTTTGTTTAAATGAAAAATGGAACTTTCAGGCCATCACAGGAATCAAATAAAGGATTTCAAAGTCAGGAAAAATGAAGAAATGTAATTATTTATTGCATATATAAGTGTACAAAATATATTTTACAAAAGGTTACAATATGCCATTATTGTTTTACAGCATTTCGTAGTTTATTAATTTCTCCTGTACACACAACACTCATTTCCTTTCGAAAAACACTCATTCTTTAAATAATATTCCGTTACAAAATTAGACAAATTAATCCGAATATCAGTATTTACAATTGATTTAAAGTATGAGTATACCAGAACTATGTCCACAAGCAAAAAACAAAATAAAATTTGTACATCAAAAATTTATTGAATAAACTTATATGTAAATTGCTACAGTATTATATATAATAATAATAACGTCCTTATCAGAAAGATGTAAATGTAGTTTCACGGCTGTGCAGTTTAATTGGAGGTAAATTTTGCAGATTGTATCATAGATGTACACGCTGATAAATGTAAACAATGTTTCCTATAACTCGGTCATCTGAAATAATTGCGACAACGACGATCAGGATCTTTACAAGAGAACGTAAGATACGCGGAATTGAGTGGTGGGGGAAGAGTGGGGATAGTTCGTTTCAATTTAGTCGAGCATGAGCGTATTTATGTATATGCAACAATGAATCGTGCCGCTGTTTCCGAATGACTTTCTCGCTGGTACCTGACATCCGTGACCGTGCCAAAAATCATAATACTTGGTATTATTATAAAATTTGAGTTAAGGATTTCATTGCATCAGGCGTAAAACTCATTTGAAGTAGTATGGCAATATAAGTCGTTATTGTTCCAAAAAACTAAAAACGAATATTGAATTATTAAGTAACAATTGTGACAGCGTGTAGATTCTTACATACCACTGTTGTAAATTTATTATCCAGAGAAACAAAACCGCCGGCAGAAAAATACAGCGGATGAAGGATCAGTTGTAACGAAAATTGTTCCATCTGTAATTATTACCGTTTCTAATAATATGCATACACAATAAACATGTGTATATACAGGTCGACCATAACACAACTAAGGCAGTTTAATGCTTGTATCAGAACCTTTCGTTTAATCACTATACTGATGTGACGATTACCTCGTCCTTGATAGAATCATCCAAATAAGAATTTCCCAGTTCTCGAAGAACCTCCGTCGTCACACGTGCCTATAACATACCGATGTTGTACTAATAATAATTATTTTCTTACGCTTGCAAAACTAACGATTTCACCTGACGACGCAAATCAGTACAAAAATTGTTTATGACAATTGTTTTTGTAGAATTTATGAAAATCCATATAAAAAGTGTATAGGTTGATTTGTTTGTCATAGCTTTCATTATGTCAGTCTGTAGTATATTGAAAAATATGTTGTAAAGTCCACCCGTTATCAACGTGAACTCCACGATCAATTGTAACAGAAGCTGATAACAGTAAACTTGATTAAGTTCACGTGATATCCTAATAATCTCAAGGTGAACGTGCCTTTGAAACATAAAGAGGGAAAAGGTTTGACTTCGTTAGTTCCATAAAATACAAGCGCACAAGCGACTTACCTTGTAACTTGAAGAAAATGCAGAATGAAACGCTGCTGATTCTGATGATCCGATGTAACTATAATCTTCTGTACCATGTACGGTTGAACGCCATATTTTATATTAAAGTTCTTTACATTTGGCAACTGAAGAATCTCATTCATAGCCACGTTTATCTTGCGTAACTTATCGTCTAGAATTCTAAACAGAAACTCACAAACATGAAAGTATAAAATGTTTCTTAAGATACTTTAATTAATAATCTATAACTTAGTTAATATTTTATTACTGTTGTCACGACACAAACTTTCATTCAGATTTTTCTATAATTTACCTTATGAAAGTGCAGAAACTGACGATCACCACAGAATTAATGGTAAGCGGTGGGTATATTAAAATGCACAAGTATATTCCGAGTTTATAATTAGTTTCGTTTATCAGATAAAACGTATCTACGGCACAAAGACTCAACATCAGTATACTCCATGCGAATACCCCGTATTTTGAATTTCGCAAAGTTCTCGTATAATCTTTTTTAACGCCGAGTGGTTCTAATGTATTATCTATTTGTTCACACCTTGCGATAATTCTCCTCGACTTCTTTAATAAGAAAAAAAAAAAATGGTAAAAATTATTTCCAATGCTACTGTACGATTGCTAATTATGTTATATTATAATTCGGAAAGTACATACTTCTCTGTTAACGAATCCAAGAAGAATCGAGGTAAGGGCTACTATTACATTGATCCATAAGACAAATGAATAAGTGATTTCTTGATATGCAACCCAAGAATCGACAACAGTTAATTTTACCCAATAAAGTATGGTAAAATATATTATGGTACATATCAGATTATAAATTATTGTCAATTTGTATCGAGGACGCCTTGCTAATTCAAAAACACCCAGTCCAAATATCCAATTGAGCCAAAGGATAGGTGCTAATGCGTCGCGTTGATTCCTTGCTTCCCACGTCATTACTTTCACTATTTTTAACATTTAACCTAAACACATATTGTTACAATTAGAACGATTAATTGTAAATATATTTAATCATGCAAAATACAATAAAATGCTGTTGCTTAAGTGCCTTTAAGTGCCGTTTATATTTACAGGACTTTGTAAAGGAAACTCCGGTAAACTAGGAAACAAATTAATTCATTACTCAGCTTAGGGTTGACTTTTTCTTATTTTCAAGTAATTCTCGAAAGTTACGAAAAATAATAAAAGTTTCATTTTGAAAATATGTGAAATATGCGTACAAAGCATATTAAAAATCGTTTCTAATAACTATTTTCTCGAACTCTTGAGTGCTTCTTAAGGTGTTCTACGAATAATAGTTTACCCGACGTACAGAGTGCTCGATAAACGATAGGAAAAATTCGAAGGGATGATTATAGGAAACGAAATAAGACGAAAATTAAGAATAAAAAAAGTGAAACTTTGTTGTTACATGTTTCATGTTGCGTATAACATTAGTATTCTATTATTAAAGTGTAAATTTCTCCTACGGAATTCAGTGTGACACGAGATATTGTCAAATCTTAAAGAAGAGAGCTGCTTCCTTTCATTTTTCTTTTGAAAAATTTACTTTTTTATACGGAAACATGTATAAAAATAATTATCTTTGATCTTTGGTATTCACTTCTTTATTGTAACACAAATGCTCACCCTTCTTCTCGCTATTAACTCTTCATCGTTTTGTATATGTTCTTCTTTTAAACTTCCAGTAACTACTGCAAATTACAGAATGTGTAGAGCTGACTGTAATTGTTCTATTAGAAATAGAACTAAAAATGCAGAGAGATGTTCTCGAACGTCACTTAAGTATAATGTGACGCAATCTAATCGACTTATTGTGTCGTCATTTCCTTAATGACTTTGAACACAATTGCTGATAATGTCTGATACAAGGATCTCGTTTGATGTGGATAAGGGGTTGCACGCATCGCATTATTTATATTACTACATCATTTATCACATCGTACTAGTAATAAAAAATAAATGACGTTAATAAATTACATTAATTCACTTTTATAATCACTGAGAGTTCAAGTTTAACGAATTTACGAAATACGTTGCTATTTACAAAATATTCGACTATCAATGTAAATTGATACGAAATTTTCTTCTACTTTTCTCAATTACTATTTAAGATGTAATAACAACGAATGCACTTGCAAACATCATACAATAATAATGGTAATAAGCGATACGATCTAAATACCACTTTATCTATAGACACAAAGATGTTACATTCGTATGTAATATGAATTTAGAAACCCACTCTTGTGCAGTAACATTTTTACCGTGGTAATAAAATTACAATTCCGTTGGAATTACAAAAATCAGTCGAACATAAAATAGGAAGAGGTCAGAAATTGATGTATCAATTTTATTTTAATTAGAATTTTCTCGTGGAAATTGATACTCACAGTTGGAGTTAGTGTAATAATTATAAATGTAATAAACAATACAGTTGAGTGTGACCGATAAATCGTAGGATTTCGAAGTGAGAAGTAGCGGAGTGTGCCCTTTATCAATATACATGGTGTTTGGTTACAAGTAGGAAAATAACATTAAAATTAAGAATAATAAAATTGTAAGTTCGGTTTCCTATTTTTAATTATAAATACTAAACAAAATCGATTTCAGAATGCTTGATTGCGAGGTCCGATAATTCGCTGTACTACGATCACTCTAAAATCGTGATAAGAGATCATTTGTTGCATGTACGCGTGAACTTTTCTATAAACATTTGTAGTACAGGTGAATATTTTGTGAGTGGAACATTTTTTCTTCACAGAGACCTTCAAATTAGTGGATCGAGTGACTGGCGACAGCAAAATTGTAATAATATTTTTCATAATGTAGTAGGATTTTATGGAATGCAAGGATATTCTTTGGTATCTGGGAAAAAACACACAAAAGTTTATTTATCTTTTGTCGATATATGTTAAATGTTTGGTACAAAATAATTTCGAACAAATGAATGCAGTGTTCGAGCTGTTGCTTTTGCTTTCGGGCGTCCGGCTTTAAGCAGCCGTACTCTCCCGTTACAATATTAACGAAACGAATAAAAAAAATTTATAACAATTACCTGTACTCTACTCTCTGTAAGGCGTCCGGCGGATAGTCCAGCCGTTCTTTCCATTCCAGGAGCGACCCAGGTATAGCTCTCGTACTCTCCTATCACAATATTTAAGCGATACGCGTATGATCGG